GACAGGGCATGGTTTGAGGCATCAAAAAAATCTACCACAGCAAAGCAACATAAATAGAGATAATACATTTAGGCCAGTGGAGGCATTGAGTTTAGGGAAGGTCGTAGCACAGTCCAGTCCAGAGACCCCCTCCCAGCCATAATCAAGATAAGAGGTGCTATGTTTATCATCCAGCTTGGTTGACCTTCTGTCACAGGTCCACGACCTGGGGGAAGCGAGGGGTGAGGATGGGAACAGAACATTTTTGTTTTCCATAGCATTCAGTGGAGGAATTGAGATAGTTCACCTTCCAAGCAGGGCCAGATTAGCAACCCCCAGGGGCCCCTGGGCACTGAAGCTCACAGGGCCCCCTCCCTAACCTAACACAATTTTATTATATTATATTTAAATATATATATATATATATATATACTGACCCTTTCCAAAACATTAGAATATCATGGAAAAGTTGTTTAACTTCCATAATTCCATTCAAAAAGTTAATATTTAATAGATGATAGATTCAGGGCCCACAATTTAAACTATTTCAAGTATTTATTTGTTTATTTTTACATAATTTGGACTTCCAGCTCATGAAACTCACAAAAACAGGATTTAAAAAAATTAGAATACTGTGGAGAAATCAGCTCAAATGTTGCATGAATGTTTTAAACTGAGTGTGACACTGATCATCTACTAAACTCAAAGCACCTGCACAGGTTTCCCCAGGTGTCATTGAATTGCTTCACTTTGGTTCAATTGTCTCAGTTCAGTTCAATATGGGGAAGACTACAGACATAGTTGGCCGTGTCTTCCTGGTCACCCACTGCTGCACTTGGACCTGGACTGTCCTCAGTGATGGAGACAGTTAGGACAGGAGGTGCAGTGGAAGGTCTCTGTCCTAAAACCTCATCCATGAGGACAAACCAGGGCCAAGTCGCAGCAGCAGCTTCCCACTAACTCCTTCTTCTGACCCGCCTGGATATTTGCAGTCCTGAACAGAAGACATGAGACATCACAGTTAGCAAGACGAGCAACAAACATTTTTTTTAAACTTTACATGTATTAACAGCTTCACGTACAAATTATATTCTTCATTACACATGCACATACTTTGTATTTATTTTTTAGGTTGTCCCAATTCTTTTTAGCCTGCAGAGGAGTTACTTCTCCTGTAGGCCCATCTTCTCCAAAATTATCCAAATAACATCAACATAAAATGAATGAAAAGGGGGAACATGGAAAATAATATCTTAAACCCACATTGAAAAACTACAGTTTTCACAGCACAACACTAGAGGACCTGTATATATTAAGATCTCAGGTTATGTACAGTATGAGGGTTAATGAAACTGTACTCAGAAGCATAAGATGAATAAATGGATTCATTCTTGTACCTCCATGCCACAGCTGCAGAGTGTTTTGGACCAGTAAAAATGTGTTTGTTCTCATTCTGAAGTTTAATAAAAGCTTCGGTCTGCTCCTTGCTCCCTAAAAAAAAAAGCTTAACGGTGATAGTACTACGGGACCCGCTGTACGAGCTGACCTCCGACAAAAAAATAATACTAAAAAAAGTATCTACACAAATGACAAAAGCCTATCGGCTGCTTTAAATCATAACCGCTTTAGGCTTTTAATTTTTTATCCCACATTTTAACATACTTACATTTAAAAGTACTTGCTCGCTGCTTCGTCCGCTATTACGACCAGAATTTTCTGTGTGCCCGCAATGCATCTTGGGATAGGGTGGACAGCGAAGGATACACGGGACCTGTCCTTCAAATCTGGGGAAAAGGAGGCCGCATTTATGGACCGCATTGAAGGAGTCTTCGAATTGGGACAGGCCTCGGCGCGTCGCTGTGACGTAAGCGGCCTTCAAATTCAGCCTTCGAAGGATGCAGCCGCTGGATTGGGACACAGCATGAGTTTTATTGTCAATGTATCAGGATACAGTGAGATTATGTTTGTACAGTCGTCCGAAACACGGGCGGAGTGCACGTTGCTGCTGCTATGATAGCACGGCCCTTTATTCTTTATCAGAATACTTTTAGATAGAAGAGAAAAGGGGAAAAAACATAAGGAGAGATGTATTAAAAACAGATCTCTCACACCGTGTCCTAGACAGGGCACGGTGTGAGGCATACAAAAAATCAACCACAGCAAAGCAACATAAATAGACATAATACATATGCGTGTGGAGTGGGTAGGGTGTGGGGGTCCCAGCACGGCCGTCAAGCAGATAGTAGTTCATGAGCAGATAGTAGTTCATGTAAACTTTATTGTCATTACCATCTCATGTGGTACGTGAGATGGAACAAAATTATGTACACAAGTAGTAGTAGTAGTAAGTAGCAGTTTATTTTAGTATTTATATATATTAAGGCATTTTAAAACTTTTCCCACACTCTTACAATGTTCCTAAATGCTCTGAAAGAGCACAGCATATCATGATTGCTGCTCTATGCCACCTGCCACTCACATATCACCAAGATGAGATGATATGTGAGTTAAAGTCTGACAAACACTCTCAGAATGTGGAGCTTGGTTCTGAGAGCTCAACTCAGGAGTCTGAGATAATCATCAAAAATACATGGGTCATTCACACAGAGGCCGGAAAAGCTAATCTTATCCGAGGGTTTTAGCTGGAATCGATGGTCTGAAGGCATAGCAGACGTGTTCAGGCATAAGGCATCAGACAAGTGCAGCGGACAAAAAGTAAAAATATAAAATAAAATCACAATCACAGGTCCAAAATTATTTAAAATAAATTATTTTTAATGATTTTGCACTTACTGCATGCAGCAGGTTGGGGGCGAACTGTCCATTTGAAGCATCAAGATATTTCCCGGTGGCCTGGCCGTTCGCCGAGGGGGACTAAAGGCTCAGTTCCGGTTGCGCTTGATTATTAAAATGAAGCTGCTCATGCAGCATGGATTGTTTATTTAAACTGTTACAGTATTTAAATTTAAATTGTTTATTTACACAGAAGGAGGAAGATTGGGAGTGATGAGTACGAATGTGAATGCAACGGAGAAGTGGGCGGGGCAGAGAGCCACAGGTGGAGATCATGACACGCTGCAGGAGGGAACTTCTCCCTGCATTTGGTGCAGCAGGTGCTAAATTATTTCAAATAATTTATTTTGAATAAACAATCCATGCCGCTTGTGCAGCTCATCCATTAATTAGCCAATTGTGTGTCATGTCCAATCTTACTTTGAAAAACTGTGAAAGAGCGAGTCTGCGAAAGTCGAACCGTGAAATAGCGAGGGACTACTGTACCTGGAGAAAATCAAAGCATGCATGGAGAGAACATGCAAACTCTACCCAGAAATGTCCCCAGCCGGGATTTGATCCAGTGACTCTCTTGCTGAGAGGCAACAACTCTATCCACTGAGTCACTGTTCCGCCATCACTGACACATAAGTGATTAAACATGACCCAGGGTAGATGAATGGAGTTGACATCAGTACACTCCTGCAACTATGCATAAATGCACGGATGCAGGAAAACATGCTGTACTTGAAGGGTTGTAAGCATACTTGGGTATGCGTATAAGGTAAGTGCATTAGAGCGAAGTCAACATGACAACTGCTAAGTGTGAAATTGAAGTACAATTGGCAGAAGTCCAGTTTGCTCAACTTCCATTAATTGTTTGATGCCTTTGCAGAAAATGTGACCTGTGAATGGCAACTAATTTTTCCTTTAAAATGAGATTGTGTTTCCAGCTGCAAAGTTGGCAAACAATCAACATATAGAATACAAAGGTCCAGAATATGCTGGTGATCAAGTCAAATCATTTAGCTATGTAATATTTATTTATGCACCTGTGAAGGTCAAAGGTATTAGAATATTTTTGCATTCAAGATTTATTAGTGTGTATTGCTGTGTATATCTTAAACACTATTCTGATTTTTAGTCCATGTATCACGACCGCCAGGGAGTAGCAGTGGTGCCACCCACTGTGCCAGGAGCCTACCTGGGGTTACCTGAGAAGGGCATCATGAGGAAGCAGAAGTCAATAGGTATGATGTATCTACAGTTAGTATGTGCATGAAAATGTGCAAATATTGGCCCAAGTCATGAGGGGCATGTCCAGTACCTTGCACTTTTCAACTTTTCATCATCTATTAACGCCTTGCATTGTGTGCATATTCTGGCAATATTACATAAAAATGATCTGGTCAGCAACATGTGCTTTCAGGCAATTTTATTGGAGGTCATTAAGCATAGCCTATGCTGAAACTTAACTCTCACTGCACAGCTACATGAATATCATGCAATCAGTTCCATCAGCATTATGGCACAGAATGAGGGCAATAGAAACACCTACACAACAGTAGTGTCTGATTTGATGATGCTAAAGTCCAGTCAAGGTTCTTTATTGTCATTCTCTTCACATGTGGCACATGTGATGGAACGAAATTGTGTGCACAGGGTCCCAGTTACATCCAACAAAAGTATAAATTGTAAATGAAAAACAGTAATAAGATCTAAGTTATGAACTAAGAAATACGCTAAACTAAGAATATGCTAAGCACTAAAAGAGAAGCTAGAAGAGACAAGCTAAAAGAGAATGCTTACAATTTCAAACTAAACTAGTAAGTTTCTGGAGAAACTTTGACAGGGACTGCCAGGCTGCTGCCGATTTAAATATTTGATTTGACAGTACTCTGTGTTGGGGTTTGCTCTCAGCTACCAATATGCCAAGTTTCAGCTGAATTGCTCTAAAAATGGCAGAGTTATCGTGTTTTTTCATTTAGGTAAGGTAGCCATCTTGGATTTTTGATTTGCATTAGTAATGTATAACAACTCGCACTCATCTACATCCATACTAAATGTCAGCTCAATATCTCAAAGAATGAGTGAGTTATAGTCTACTTTTTGCCTGCTGATGTAGCTGTGGCAGCCAGCTTGAATCAAAATGGCTCCAAAAGTTAATCATTTCTAGAGATACATGTGATGATTAATTTCTGTGAGTTTCAGTCAAATCCAACAAGCTGTTCATGAGATACAGTAGGTTGCTAACAGAAAGGCCATCTATGTTTACTTGTATTACTAAATGTGTCCCAGAAGTCAGGTCAGAGATGCATGCATGCTGTCAAGTTAAGGCTCCAGTATACTGCCATGTACGTCCGTTCACGCTTACGTACGCGTGTACTGTACGCAGAGGGTTCAGTCATTAAACTCCAGCATCCACCCCGAGCAGCTGCAGAGCAGCTTCACAGACAAGGGGCGTTTACCTTCGGGACAAATTGAGGTCGCCAATTGGTCATTTGCTGACATGCTTACTGGATTGATTGACAGGTCAGAAAAAAGAAAAAAAAGCGAGCGCTGGCAGCCTCAGCCACAGTGGTGTTCTGTGTTTATATGTTGTTAATAAAAAGATCTAAAAAATTAAAAGAAACAGAGAGCGCTGGCTCTACAGCCCACACATCAGACCAGCCCACCAGGAAATCTCCAGACCCTCCGCAGCCATGCTGGACCTGAGTTTAATTCGCTCGTGACAAATTCCTCCATTTCTCACCATTTCAGTCATGGCATCAACGGAGGAGGAAGAGATCACTTCCTCTTGGCAAAAAAAAACAAAAGAAAAGACCAGATCAGAGATGAAGAAGGGGAATTTTATACATTGGTGTCGCATACAAAACAGTCCGTCGCTGGGCAGTTTATTGTGCGACACCGCGTACGCGTATGCGGTCGTAAAAAATTGAACTTTGCACGGAGGGTACGCACGTACCTCTGCGTACGTACGTGAGTACCTCTGCGTATGGATGTACGTGGCAGTATACTGGGGCTTTAGGTGGATGAAAAGAGGTGTTGAAGTCAGAATGCACATGTCTGGTGGAGGTAGACTTTTGAAATAAAGCAATCTTAATGAATGAATGATAAATCAAAGAAGTTTTGTGGGTGTGTTGAGTAAAATAAAGATTGAATGTCTGTCTGTCAAGGTACTGAAACAATCGAATGTTATTATAATATTTTTTTGTAATCAAAAGTTCCTTTATAATCTATTTTGTGATCAAAAGAAGTATTCATTAAGTGATTGTAAGTTTGATCTGGATTTCACTTTTAATTATTAAGTCAAGTGATTTTAGAAGAAGCATTTTATACTTTTCTATTAGTAAGTTTTTTTCTCGTTTAGGATTAGAAGAGCCAAGTTCAAAGTTGAGAAACAGTCACTTGAAGCAATTGACAAGAAACTCAGTGTGGTGACGGTGGATACAAGGATGTTACGCAAAGCACGAGCTTACAACAGAAGTGGAAGTACGCTGTTTAGACAGCTGAGCGGTTGCTTAAAAACCACATGCTGAAAAAATGGAGACAAACTTTTGAACTGTTGAAAAGTCTTCAAAATGATTGACAAGTTTTCAAAATGGATGTTAGATCAGAAACAAGCCAATCAGAGACAAGAGATGTTTAAAAAGAAAAGATAGCAGACGAAAGTCGGTCAGTCATTTCGGGTAGAGATGGAACACGGTTGTCAAGCTCTGAAGACTTGGATCACATCTGAAGAGGGAAGATTTTGGGAGGTTTTTAACATACTTAGTTGGATTTTTGAACAGCATCCCCATATGGCCAACTTGTCCCAACCTAGGAAAATTACCAGGTCTTGTACCAATTGCAAAACGTCAAATAGAGGAAGAGCAGCCATAATGCAGGATACCTTATGGTAAACTTTGGGCTCACTGCTACTTGACTCTAAGACCTGTGAGGTGAAATAGGGGTGCATCCTCCAGATGAAGGTTGTTAGTGCCAGGTCACATCTTTCTTGAATCCGGCCTATGAGGGCCTGACCGTAGTATTGTTTGGGTAATACTCAGAAGTCTAGGGGGGGGTCCAATTACCGGTTAGACGAGGGCTGGAGGGGTGTTAAACCCTGAGACGAAGACAGTGTGCATGTGCGTGCGTGTGTGCGTGGGTACGTACATGTGTCTATGTGTGTGTGTGTGGGGGGGGGGGGGGCGCGCAGTCACACAGATGCAGGAGAAAGAAAAGACAAAATCTTGCTTCGAACAAACACGTGCTGTGTAAAAACCACAAGGTCTTTTGATAAAATTCTTGAAGCGTGAGTGATATAAGATTTGGTTCACACTCGTGTATATTTTCTCATTTTTACAGCACTATTTGTCAAAAATATGACAAGTTAAAAACACTCCTCACAATGTCATCTGAACAAAAAAATTGTCAGAATTATAATGGAGAAACATAGGAAATAGCTGTACTCTCCCATCTGAGGCACCTCACGACCAAACCATAACGCCAATAGCCAAGTCAAACATACTGGTGGAAAGTCAACAAAAATTACTATGGTTTATATATAATATATAAGCATATCTTAAAAGATGTGGTGGTAGGAAGAGTTTGATCAAAAACTTTCTGATATTATTTCATGTAGCTGTACACTCTAGGTCACGTGACCTCAGAGCAGCAGTTAGAGATCTAGGGGCAGCGTCATTCCCCAATCTGTTACGGAACCCGATCCGTAGTGTTGCTCATTTGCGCATGCGCTAAAAGGAATACTTCTGGGTCACACGGATCGCTGTTGAATATACTTGATTAAGGAAAATGTACTAGTATAATTCCGTTTATGAATAAGAACGGTCTTAATTTACTTAGAAAACTATGTTCTCTATCTCCGCCGATTTTCAAGTTGTTTATTTACACCACTTGTATACAGTTAAAATCATTGACATATTTACGTCATGGTTAAAATGATATGCAACTTCACTGAGCGGTACTGTTTCACCATGGAAATAATTCATTCTGTATCTTGCAGGGTTTTTCTCATTCAGCCCAGGCTGGGGGACAGGTCTAATGCGTCGCTTATCATCTTAACCAGTGAATTGTAATGGAAATATGAGTGGCTACATGAAGATCGGTGGAGATAGAGCATGTACTATTCTAAGTAAATTAAGACAGTTTTTATTCATAAACAATGGCAATCCGTGCGACCCAGAAGTTCACTATGGATCGTGCTTTTGTAACAGATAAGGGAATGACAGGCAGGGCAGCTGACTCAGGACCCAAAGTGATTTCAGACTGAGGCATGTTTAGAATGGTGTTGAAAAGAATGTGAGGGTTGTGACTGTTTGGGTTGATAATTTTTGAGAAATATTTGTTTTTCTCTTGTTTAACGGGGGTCTGATACACTTTCCAACATGATTTTAACATATCAAAGGAAACCTGGAGTTTATCTTTCTTCCATCTATGCTCAGCTCTCCTGCACAGGTGTCTTGCTTCTCGTGTGGTCTCATTTACCCAAGGGTGGGGCGTGCATTTTCGATTCCTTAGCTTTAACAGGGCAACTGAGTCTAGGATCTGTACACAGGCCTCCTGATGCCGAGAAAGCAACTCATTTGTAGTAAGACCCACAAAGAGTTCAGAGTCAGTAACAGAATTACTAGCAAAGATGGAAGAGAAGAGTGCGGCGGTGGAAGGGTTAAAAATCCTACAGGGCCTGGGTGAGGGGGAGGTACCAGTTCACAAATCAAAGAGGTGTTGAATAAAACCGGTTTGTGGTCAGAAAAAACAGTGTCACCAATTTCTAAATCAGAAACAGACAAACCATGCGTTAAAACTAAGTCAAGGGTGTGGCCCTGCTGGTGAGTCAGACCAACAACACTCTACACAAAGTTAAAGGACTGGATGAGGTCTATAAAGTCTTGAGCTAATGGTTTATCAGGGTAGCACACATGGATATCAAAATCTCCCAAAATTAAAACACAATCATATTGGAGCAGAATACCAGTTAGAAAGTCAGAGAGTTCATTTAAAAACTGTTTATACCATACGATACCATTTTACAAACCGGATTCCAAAAAAGTTGGGACACTAAACAAATTGTGAATAAAAACTGAATGTAATGATGTGGAGGTGCTAACATCTAATATTTTATTCAGAATAGAACACAAATCACAGATCAAAAGTTTAAACTGAGAGAATGTATCATTTTAAGGGAAAAAATCTGTTGTTTTCAAATTTCATGGCGTCAACAAATCCCAAAACAGTTGGAACAAGTCCA